CGGAAATGTATTATTTCTTTACCTTTAATCATAATTTTCTAATTCAATTTTGAAAGAAAGTGTCCTCCTAAATAAGTGGCTCAACCTAAATTTCATTGGGGTTTCGATTCGGACTCGAATAATTTTGAATGTCATTTTCAGTAATCTATAATTTCATCGTGTTTTAGTAGTGTTTATGACAATTTTGATATTATAATTGAATTATTAATTGAGTGAGGTTTAGTTTGTAATGAGTGGGTAGTGGATTAGTTTATAAATTATATTAATAAATTAAAATTATAATTAATAGTTGAACGCCCAGTATATAAAAAAATATTTAAAGAGTTTAATCTTAAAACAATTGAAAATGGTCAATTTTGAACCCAAAGGTGGATGACAAGTGTATTTTGGAGTCAATAGGTGGATGGAAAGGGCATTTTGGAGCCAATAGGTGGATGAAGGGTAATTTTGTACCATTTTCAATACTTTAAGGGTATTTATCATTTTATTATTGCGATTCAAAACGAGTCTTGAGCGAACGATCCAACGAATTCAATCGAACTTATATTTATGGTTCAACTTACAAAATACTAATCATAATGCAAAAGTTCAATTCTCATAAATGAAAGAAACATAAATCCACTAAAGTCTATTAAATCGGTTCCACAAATCTGAAAGTTAGGCATCTAATTTTTAAATATTAAGTCTAAGAGTATCAAAAACACTAAAATAAATAAATAAAGTAGTTTGTGTCCGAAAATTAAGGACATCTTGACATGACCAATAGAATCCAACACGAGCTAGAATAAATAGCTGGAACCTAATATGTTGGAGACTAGCTATAACTGAGGGCTAGTTGAAGTCGTTGGTATAACTCGTTGCATTCCACAAAAGGAAAAAGAAGAAAACTACAAATAAGGGTCAGTACAGTACAATATGTACTGAGTAGATATCATCAACCGACCCAAATAAAAACTAATATGTAATAAGCAATAGTATAAAATCAACTATAGCACTTAGCAGGTGGCAAGCAACATATAACATGGACAAATAACAACAACACCGAGACGAGTATTTAAATAAGTCATAATATCAAAAACACATATGAGGACTCATGTCTCTACACCACGTTTTTTTTTTAAAAACTTGATATATTGAGATAACTCATAATTCTTATACAAGCAACCCTAAAAACTACACAATACTCTATCCCACCGATGATCATGCATCATCTCAATTGTGACATAGTGCGTTTGTCATTTTAGCCCTACTAATTATGAAGTGGATGAATTAAAAACTTAGAGATTTTAAAAAGTTCTATCATTTTCAAAATAATTAATTGAGGATATAATAAGTAAAAAAAAAATTTCTTAATTTATCAAAACGAACAAGTAATCAGAAACAACTAAAAAATTGAAAATTGAACAAGTAATCAGGGACAAATATAGGGGCAGACCCACATATATCCTATCGGATACTCGAGCACCCATTAATCCTAACATAAGTTCGTACATTTATATATATAAAAAAAAAATATAACATAGATATATTAACAGTTTAGGACCCAGTGAACAAAAGGCTTTATAGGTGAGTTGGTTTAGTTTTGATCCATATTGTTATTACGATATCAAACTTTATGGAATATCTTTTATCCCTAACTATTTTATAGTATATTTTTTTACCTCAAAACTATTTAATAGTGTGTATAAAGGCATATATATGCTCACGTGAACACATTACTATTTATGATTATGCAATATTTTTTATATTCACATGAACACATATATACCTTTAAAATATACTATTAAATAGTGTAGAGGGGTAAAAAGTCCTTTTCAAAAATTAATATCGTAACAACAATTTCAACCTAAGTTTGAATATATTTTAGACCCTTTTCCCAATTTTTTGTGATGGAAAGAAAATCAAGATTTTCTTGAGAAATTTTGGCACCTCATAAATCCCTCACGCTAATTCATTTTTTTTCTAAAAAAAAATTTAAAAAAATGAAAAGTTCTTTTAACTATAACATTTAAATAGTTATGCATGTATATACTCTTATACTAGGCGACTCACAGTAACTTTTATATTAGGTGGCGAGCATTCTTAAACATAAAATCTTGAATTTGTCACTGAATAACTTATTTTGTTATTATAATAAAAAATTATAGGTCCAAGCACTATTTAATATCTCCAATTCTAATCAAACATAGGATAAAATAATTTTATATTTTATTTATAAATTATACTTTACCTTATATATCACGTCAAAAAATTAAAAAATATATTAACTGTAATCAATAAAAACATGTTATAAATCTAGCTTCATGTACCCACACCCAAATACGAGAAGTGCACGCATGCATGACACAACTCAAGTTGGTTCATACTCCACTTTATTTTATTTGATCGTGCTATATCAAAAATAAATATTACATTTTACTTGTTATTTTAATGAATCAAAAGAGTTTATTATTTTTTATGTTATTCATAATTTTAAATAACAATACAAAATAATAAAAATCAAATTTAAAATTTTAATATATCATTAATAAGAATAAAAGAATTATTTATATGAAATTTTCTTAAATATGTTATGTCAACAATAATCAAATAATATGAAACAGAGAACGAATATACTTTTCTTCTTAATTGTATAATTGAATTCATCTAGAAGATTAACCTTAAAATGCCAACCCAAATGTTGACAAATTCACATGATTCTCGTCATTAAATTATAGTTTATACACGCACCTTATAATAATATTAATAGTACATGACTTAGTCATGATAAATTAATATATATTGATATAACCATCGAATACAAATAAGTTTTTACTTGTATCAGATGTTTATTTCAAATCAATACATGAATATATAACTCTGAGGGTAGCTCGGCTGGTAAACGCCCTTCAGATTGCCAGTTTGTAAAGCGATACCTGAAAACCACGGTAAAAAAATAAAATAGAATACATAAATATATAATTATGTTTGTATGTACATTTAATTCATTTAGTCATGACTAATTAATGTATATAATTTTAATTATTAATTACATTAATTAATTAAAAAATAATTTGACGTAAATATCGTATGGATTAAATTTTTCACCTGTGGACAGTCCTCACTACTAAAATGGAGACTAGTCGTTATAAAAGTCACCCATGGCAACCCATGCACCTAACTTTTATTCTATTTTTTCAATTTTCTTTCTTCTTACAAATGATTATTTCTCTGTTTAATTTGTTGTAAGATTGATTTTGTCATTAATGGTAAAAAAAAAGTGTAAAGTTGTCCCTGTTTCATTCAAATCAATAACTTTTATTTAAAATAATATTTTAAAATACGTTTGTATATACAAAATAAAAAATATTTAATTTCTATGATCAAACGTTTATAAAATTTCAAAAAAAAAATGGACAAATTTGCGCCGGCTATTATATTGATGGGAATGCGGGAGGCTATAATTACATACCATCGCTGTCCATAATAAAAAGTGAATGCATCAAAACCAATATTGAGTCAAAATTTAAAATTTTAATTTTTTATTATTATTAGATTCTAAAATAATAATTATACATAATACAATGAATCAAAATCTAATTCAAAATTATTGAATTAGATCAAATCTGTAATTAACATATCGATTTCATTTCCGATTAAAAAGGGAAAGAAAGACGCAATGGAAACAATTTCAATTTCTCTTAGAAATATAGAGGGGAATAATTTTTTTTTAAAGTAAGTAGTCAACAATTTACTTTTGAAAATTATATGTACACGTTGCATCCTTCTCTTGTAATGACCAGCATGTCAATTTAGAAATTGTTAATAAAATAAGAAATATTTTGGACTCTTGAATCACGTATTAAAATATTTATTAAAGATCTAATAAAAAAAATTGAATTTTGTGAATCAAATATTCATTAATTAAATGCCTACACAATATTTATTAGGAATCTAGTTATTATCGTATATTACTTTATGTCTCTCCTACGGAGTCAAACTTTTTTTATTAAGAGATTTGAAAAATAAAAAAAAATACATTAAAAAAGTTAAAGAGAGTTCTACATATACTATATATACATAAAATAATTAATTATTTTTCTATTTGACTAGTTAATATGTTCTTAAATTATTAATAACTTTAAAATTATTTCTATACTTGACTAGCTAAACTTAAATACAATTCTGATTCTTTACATGACATAGTTAATGATCTTAAACTTTTATAAGTACATGTAATCTCATTTACGGGTCCTTAAAGTTATTCACACATTTCACTTAAACACCTTAACCAGAGGTTGTTTCTATTAAACACCTCTAACGTCAAAATATGTAACTATTAAATATTTTTTGATGACATGTCATTACAAATGTAATGTAATTGAAAGTAAGCGCGGGAAAGCCATAATCTTTTTCTTGCTAACCAATAAAAAATGGACACATCAACCTTAAGAAAATTCATAATCTAAACATGATTTATTTTTATTTTTTATAAAGAAAATAATTGTCTTCTCCAACTCATCTTCCCTATTGAAATTCTCAATTCAAAATTACTTGAACCTCATCGGCCAAATTACTTTGCTACCATATAATCCTTCATTCATTGTTTCTTTTTAGCATTATTTCACTATAATCAATATCATTGTCGTTGTTCTTTTCATCGAAAAAAACATCACTGAAATAAATAACTAGTAAAAACACAAAAACATCAAAAGATTTTACTGTTAAAATTTTCATTTGAGTTGTCAAGAGAATTTTATCAAAAATAAATCAAATTGAGGTCAAAACAATTCCGACTGAATTCCATTATTTCCGATAAAATTAATACGAATCTGAAATTATTTTCTTATGTAATTAAAAATGGAAAGGAAAAAAGGTAGAGTAAGGATAATTATTGGAGTATACACAATTTTTTTTTTACTAAAAAAGATGTTCAATTGAACAAACCTAATAAAATGCTCAAATAAAATATACGAACAACTTTAAAAAAATCACATATAACTTAAAGCCTTAAAAAAACAATACAAACTGTCTCTCAGTGAGCTACCATACAATAATTAATATGATGATCATTGACCATTGTCCACTAAACAAAAGTATCAATCAATTGATACATATACATCATGATTAATAAGATTGACAAGGCTTTATTTAAAAGATAAAAACAATTTAAAGAATCGATAAATTTTATAGCTAAATAGTAAATTTTATGGTAATTAGTAATAAATTTGTAGTTCCTTCTATTTATTTATTTTTTAGTGGAACCAGTAAGGTACTGTATTCTTTTCATTTTTTTTATATAAAATATTAGAAAGTTGTATACTTCAAAAATTAGAGTGGTCAAAATATGTGGGCTTGATATTATATTTGTTCATTAAATGAAGCTCTTTTCTATTTTAATTTTCTTCCATCCACTTCTTTCTAGCTTTTTATGTTAATTTTTCAGAAATTAATTAACCATTAAAGAGTTATGAAGTTTTCTTTTGCATTTTCTAATTGTTTTAATCCAACATCTGAGATTATGGAAATTAACCAAATTATTCCCTATGGTAATTAAATTCTCTAATCCCATTTGTACAATTCTTAATAATTACTACTGCTTTAATTAATTAAACTTGTACATATCTTAATTATTGTAGAAAAAGATGGACAAAGAGTTCAAAAATTCTCTATTTTTTCTTACAAAGAATTGAAGGTAGCAACTCATGGATTTGGAGCATCAAATAGAATTGGAGAAGGAGGATTTGGTTCTGTTTACAAGGTACATTTTTTTATCCGACTTTTAACTTTACGAGTACTGAATTCTATAACATATTATTGAAAAGTTTAGAAGATTTTTCACTCGTTCCTCTTCAGACCTTACTTATGAATAAGCTGTCGTTGTTCGACTTTTTGTTAGGTGGACGACTATTTAAGTTAATTTTGTGCATTTTTTTTTACAAAGGGTCGGCTTGAAGATGGAAGCTTTGTGGCTGTGAAAGTTTTATTAGTTGATTTAGAATCAATGAGAGGTGAAAGGGAATTTATATCAGAAATTGCTGCATTGTCTAATATTAGACATGAAAATCTTGTCACCCTCAGAGGATATTGTGTTGATGGGACTAAAAGACTCTTAGTCTATGATTACATGGAAAATAATTGCCTTTCACAAACATTACTAGGTAATTCTTTCGTTTCTCGCGCGTTTTGAATTTTGAATTTTCACTCTTATATACTGATAAAGTTATAGTCATGTGACCATAAGGTTGTTTATTTGAGCTAGAAACAGCCTTTTGCAGAAATACAAATAAGATTGTATAGGGAAAAAGGATAATAATATATCCATGAACTGTTTTAAATGATATACAGATACCTTCCGTCGTACTTTTGGAACATTGATGCCTCTGCTGTCAAAAAACTAGAGCATATATGTATATACCAATTATACTAACGGACATACACGTGTCATAATCTTATCTGCCGGATAGTGAATAAGATTGCACCACGTGTCCCTATTTAGTCTTCCGTTAGAGTGAACGATATCTATGCTCTAGTTTTTCGACAACAGAGACACTAATGTCTCAAAAGTATGACAAGGTATCTGCATACTATACACGATATCCTTTGTCCCAACTGTATATAATAGACCCTTGTGGTCTGACCGTAGTGCACCAGACTACCCAGTATAGTGCCGATCACATCGATCCGAACCACGTTAATTATTGTTAACTACAAATTACAACTCATACTAACATGGTTGTTTGACAAGCAGGGGAAGAACAGAACAGAAGTAAATTTACATGGGAACTTAGAAGAAAAATTTCAAAAGGAATAGCAAAGGGACTTTCATATCTACATGAAGAAGTGAATCCTCATGTTGTACATAGAGATATTAAGGCCAGCAACATAGTTCTTGATCACAATTTCACGCCAAAAATCGGGGATTTTGGTTTATCTAGGCTATTTTCGAAGAACATTTCACATATTACAACTCGAGTTGCTGGTACATTGTAAGTTACATATTACAAAAATTGTTCTTTTTGATTGCACACATCAACTTTACGAGTGTCTAAGCAAATCATGTTATTAATTTCTTGATTAATGTTATGCCCGAAGAGGCTATCTTTCTCCAGAATACGCGATCAGTGGACATTTAACTCGAAAATCAGATGTTTATAGCTTCGGAGTATTATTGCTAGAAATAATCAGTGGTTGCCCTGTTATTGCCTTTGACATTGAGAGAGGAGAACATTTCCTAGTTAACAAGGTAATTATCAATCATATTAAGTTAATTAAGCTTAATCCTAATTTTTTTACAATCTGATAATCATAATCTTCATTTTATCAACAAAATTTAGCTCTTATAATCACTGTATAATTAGTGTATATACACCATCAATTGCTACTAAAATGCTCAATTACTATATTATTGGCTTGATGAGACACTTGCGTATATTGACAGTATAAATAATTTCGATTTATTAGTGTGTAACACATAATTTGTCATATGCAAACTTTATGTAACTAGTTACACTTTTTACTATCAGTTTATCAGTAGTTATCATTTAAGTGATCTGATGGTGTTTAATTTATTTCAGGCATGGGAAATGTACAATTCTGGTAAATTATTAGAATTAGTGGACCCTATATTAAATGGAGAATTTCGAGACGACGAAGCTGTCCGATTCTTGAAAATTGGGTTACTCTGTGTGCAAGAAATAGCCAGTCTACGTCCAAAAATGTCATCGGTTTTTGAGATGTTGAATAGTGCAAATTATATGGAATTAGATGACATAAATATTATTCAACCTGGAATTCTTGCTGATTTGGGAGATGTTAAAATAGGTCAAAAACAATCATCTAATAGTTTTTTGTCCAATGTTGTAACTTTAGTTAAAAAAATGTTGGTACAAAGTGTATATTTCTCACACACAAAGTTGGCCTAATACTCTCTTTGAGAAAATATAGGATTCGAAGCAGAAACAGATTTAAGATTTGAATTTTATAGATTTTTATAAATATTTCAAAGTGAATATACAAGAATAATTAGTTTCGTTCACAAGAAAATATATAAATATTGTTCCCCTTTAGTTTGCCTCCACAAGGTAATAATAAAGTCTGCATACACTCTATCCTCCTCACTCTATCCTCCTCAGATTTCATTTTGTGAGATTTCACTGAGTATATTGTTGTTATATTAAAATTGATTTGATATAAGTACTCCGTGTAAATAAGTATTTCCAGTGACAAGAAATTGAGAGAGTAGAACACACTTTTCTTAGTCCATTATTTTGATGTTGAAGCAAATTTACAAGAGAAATTAGAAAACCAAAATAATTAAAAACAACCAAACAAGACGGAATTACAATATTTTGGCACATTTTAAAATTAATAATAATTGCCAGTATAGCTTATATTAATTCTTATTATTATGCATTGCTTCTGAATGAATTAATTGATTTGGATGCTCCAGCTCTCAAAATATATTGATGATATATTGCAGCAATTGCAGCACCAATAAAAGGTCCAACCCAAAAAATCCACTGCACCATCATACAAAAAAAAAATAATTATAATTTAGAAAAAGTATTTTTTGATGTAAAAAATAAAAAAAATAAAAATTGCTTACTTGGTCATCCCATGATTTATTTTTGCCATAAATTACAGCAGCTCCAAAACTTCTAGCTGGGTTAATACCAGTTCCAGTAATTGGAATAGTGGCCAAATGAACCATAAATACAGCAAATCCAATTGGAAGTGGTGCCAATACCTTTAATCAATTAAAAAAATATTAATTTCTTAATTGATTAACTCAAGTTAATTATTAGTAAAAAGAAGCATCAATAGACAGGAATTTAACTTGTATACATCAAAGGTGCAAATATAAGTCCTTGTGATAATTAATTATTGTATTCTTTAGGTAAATAGTTATGTTTATTTAATTAGACTCAATTGAATATATTTATTTTGATTGGATTCACGATCCAAACTATTTATCTGACTGCTCCCTTGTTTTAATCACTTAATCACTGCTTCTTCATCTTTGATACGGTTAGAGTATATATTTACACTGATAGTATCTATACGCTCTGATGATATCAAACATTAATTGAGCAGTCTTTTAATTGAAACACTTCATGTTCTTACTTGATGCCATCAGAGTATATATACACTCTAATAGTATCAAGGAGTAACTGAATGACGTTTTCCCTAAAGTACTACTTCTTCCTCTTTGATGCCATCAAACTATATATACACTTTGATGGTATTAAACTGTAAACATGCATTAGTAATTAAAAACAGAGAGTGTGAAAATAGGGGTTAGCCGCTTGTAAATAGTTTCCCTCATTAGGGTACAAGTGTTCTTTTCCCTTTTGTTTTTTTGATTTTCCACTTTGTAATTCGGATTCATATTGAATCTCAACTAAATTCAGATCACGCACTGCAAGGCTCATTCTAAAAGTGATCTATAAAAATCTTTTACTGTACTAGTGTGTAAGGGCAAAGCTAGGGGGGGATGCAAAAGGTTTATCTGAATGTTCTCTTGTCAGAAAAGTATATTGTGTATATAAGATCAAAATATTGACAAAGAGTTTCCTAAAGACGAATCAAAGCGACAAAATATCAAATCTCAATAATTCATGACAATAAGATCACTCTGCGGCTCGAAAAAATTGTTAGATAGTGTTGAAAACTTGTATACTCACAGGAACATGAGAGTCTCTGGCATTTCTCTTGGGATCGGTAGCAGAAAAAACAGTGTAAACAAGAACAAAAGTGCCAATAATTTCAGCACCTAATCCAGTGGCTATGTTGTAACCAACAGCAAGTTCATTAGCACCACCACCATACTTAACATAATAAGCCTTTTGAAATAACTTCACTAAACCACAACCACAAATAGCTCCTAAGCATTGTGCTACTATGTAAAAAATTGCTCTCACTAATGACACTTTTCTGGCCAACAAGAGTCCAAATGTCACAGCAGGGTTAATATGTCCACCTGCATATACAAAATCATTAAATTTATCGTCCGTAACATAATTAAGTAAATAAAAATATGCTCGCTCAGTCTGATACTTAAGTTTTCAAATTAGATGGTTACATAACTCAAATCTTATCACTACTTATTATCAGGATTATCAGGCTCACGTATGATAAAACATTATAATAAAAGAAAAGTTTGATATATATATTAATACGAAATGATGATCACATAATTTAACGTACCAGAAATGCCAGCTGTGCAATAAACAAGAACAAAAATCATGCCACCAAAGGCCCAAGCAATGCCAAGAATGCCAACACCACCACATTGGTCACCATCACTTTGGCTCTTGTAGCCAATCACAGTGAGTACAGTAATGTATAGAAACAAAAGTGTGGCAATAAATTCAGCAATAATAGCTCTGTAAAATGACCATTTTCCAAGTTCCTCAGGGTCAATAAGTGGTGCTGGAGGTGGGTCTTGGTAGTCTTTACTAGGGGCATATTGGTCATTTCCATACTCCATATCCTTTGCCATTTGTAACTAATAAAAAAAATAATTTGTTTTTTTTTTTGAGTTAGAGGGAAATGTGTAAAAATAATTAATTGTGGTGGAGTTGATAGAGAGTGAAGAGTGGTATTTATATATGGATTAGCTTGGATTAATTAATTAATTAGTGGAGTATTAATTAAACTCACTTTTTAGCCGCCCCATTTTAATTTCTTTTTTGTTATATTAATTTTCATGATCAACATAGCTCACCTTTTTAAAAGGGTCTGATATCTAACAATAAGATAACATATTCAGTATAATTTTATAAACGAAATATAAAAAAGAAAAATTGCACGTAAATTTTTTTATGATTTTAAAGATAATAGTTAAGAAATTTATGATAAATTTACTCCAACTTTAAAAAGCTAATTCAATAAATGAAAATTATTCGAGATATATAAATAATAATAATAAAAAAAAACATCAATACTCTATGTGTGGGACTCATCTTATGTTATAATAATAGCTTTTTTTATTTATGAAAAAACAAGACATAATATGAAAATGTTAAAGTGAACCGCCCATCTGTATAAACCACAAATTAATATTTGTTGATATATAATGACTCATATCACCGTTCATTCCAACTCAGCCCATAATTATTTTCTTAATTAGAATCAGTAATATATAGCCAATCATTTGGTTTTATTAAGGAATTAATATGTGTTATAAAGGCATATTATATAACGTTATCTCCACGAGTTTAGAAAGAATAAAAAGGATGCTATTATTAGTGTATTCGATACGAAAAAATATTTTTAATTTAACAATATTTATATATAATTTAATAAAAAATTATACGAAGGGGAGAGTAATCGGAGGTGGAATGTTGGGCGCGTTGGATGAATAGGATGATACATCAAACATAAACTATCATTTGTAGAATTTATTTTTCTGAAGAAAATGTTTTTCACATTCTATCTAATTAAATATGAGAAAATAAAAAATTATTTTTTTTCGTATCAAATATATCATAAGTGGTTATAGTGTCTCGATGTGTAGAGCAACTAAGATCATAATAACTTAGGATTACGTTAATCTAAATTTAGTCCGATTTCCAAACATACATTGAACACAAAATTAAGATCATAGTAATTTAGAATTACGTTAATATAAATTTAAAAACAAATATTAAACTATTAAACACACACGAGTGAGTTGTAAATAAAAAATAGAAAAAAGTATCATAGTAAGGTGCTATTGGTTTTGTGGACTCTATTAATTGGTCGGTTATAAATTGCATTTCTATAATTAAAAAAATTTAAACTCTCACTTATTTTTTACTTTTTTTTATTAGTTTTATGATTTAGGATTATGAGTGGATTTAGTACTACTTCATCTAATTATATTATATGATATTGCTTGATTATATAAGAGGTTAGAAAATTACCTGCACAACAGTTGTATTTTTATAAGGCCACTCAATATTTGTGGTGGAATTACATTATTTTAGTCAATATAATTACAATATGTTTCACTTACTATATGGATCTCCCAATTACCATTACATTCTCTTTAGGCTTTCAAAATTTTGACACTTATCCATTCCATTAGTGATAGTGGAAAAATTATAAGAGCATTAAAAGTTTAAACAATTAGTTTGATAGAAAAATATTAAATATCACATGATCAAAGACTGAGTCTTGAAAGTTGTAAAAGTGTGTACTCTTTTGTCTTAAATTATTAATCGTAATTTTTAAAAATAGTTATAGCAGATAATTCATTTTAGAAATTTAAGATAAAATTGATTTTTTTTTCTCATTCTATCATTACTAATTATTTTTGAATACTATTATATAATTTAGATATAGAGGTTAAGTACTTAAAAAGTTGTATTATATGGAATGGAAAAAAAAAGTCATTTTGAAAGATCTTAATTAGTAGCTAAACTGTTCGATTATTTATCCAAATTTTTATTTTATTGGTGAGGGTTCGATTTTCACTTTATAATTCCTTCTTTCAATCCTACCCACTTTATATTTTTTTTGAATATTTATTTAAGTGAAATAGATCTAAATTAATAATTTTTGTATTGTAAGTGTTCAAGTAGCAAAAACTTCAAAATTAATTTTATCCTAATTAATTTCCATCGTCAAATTACCAATCATTTAGGAACAATAACTCAAGCACACAACAAATATTTTCCTATTAATAATCTAAAGCATTTAATTAATTATTAATTCAAAAGCAAAAATGTACTACAATATGAATTTGCATGTCCAACCCATGCAACCTTCAACACCTAAACTCATCCAATTGGGGCCTAATTAAAACTTCAATCTCTCGTAGAAACAAATTTCGAGAAGAGTTTTACTTCATATTCTATATGCTGACAGTATAATAAAAAATCAAACTAAGTATCATCATCAGATCCCTCGTTGATCTCTTCCCTAATAGTCTCCAATCCGGACTTATGCGTAGGCTTTCGTCGATACGTTATAAGGGCTGGGGCAACCTCCATCCTGCAAGAATGTACATTTCTTGATCCCTTTGTCATATTTGCAAGGAAATTAATTGATCAAATAACAACTTAAAAATAGTGATTTAATTTAATTATTAGGATATGGTCCCTTTCCTCCTATAGCTTTTATGGAAGAAAAAGAGACCACAATTTGAGTTTATTATTATTTGTAAATTGTTTTTAATCTTCTGATGAATTGGAAAGGTAAAGATTTGGGCTTTATATAGTGGAGATTGGACAATGAGTAATTGGCTTGTCCTTAAAAGTAGGACAAAGTTTTATTTTGGTTCTTGAATTATTCAATGGTGAGATTTTTATAAATATTGGATGGCTTCAATTATTGTCCATACGAAGCATACTTCAATAACATAACGATGTTTTAGTTAGTAAATGGGCCAAACTAAAATAATATCAAAGTTATGCCCCGGCGTAACTAGAACAATAACAATGTTTTTCAATTCTCTCGAATATGTAGCGTCCAAGTTATTTTTGCAATACGCAAACATATAGCAACCGTTGTTTAAGGTAATTGTGCCAGAATCATTTCACTTCTTTGCTCATAGTTATTGAACTCTTATATTATACTTTCACGCTTCATTTATTGAGGTATGGGCGTTATAAGAGTTTTTAGAGTCCCACAATAAAATATGAAATCGATAATTAACTTCTTCTTACATGATAGTTAATTTTTAATACTAAGTTAAGCCTAAGATTTATTTATTTTTTGCGGCTTTCGTTGTCAAAACATATTGAAGAATAGAGTTGTTGGTTAAATGAATCTGGAAAAGGTTGTAAATTACGTTCATATATCTACCATATATATATACATATACATACATATATATATATATATATTTTTTTTATTATTATTAGTTTTAACTTGACACCTCCTTAAAAAATATTTATGAATAATTTATTATTTTAAACTAATCTTATTAATTATGAAGCAACAAGAGTATTACATAGGGAAAAAAATAGTTAGCAACTTGCAATGCAAGTAACACAATTGTGAAAAATGTGAATTAAGACTTCGAATTTTACCCTTATTAATCAATTGTCATTGTGTAGAGAGAACATATCAAAATTTTCTAAAATTTCATGACATGATAATTTATCACACTTTTTGTTAACACCTTCAATGGAGACTCAACTGCTCAACTACTTAGCTGATCAACTCCTTCAATGGAGGTTTATGTGCAGGTGTGTGCAGAGGAATGTGGTGCGTAGAGGAGAAGAGAAGAGAAGTAATAACAAAATGTAGAAAATGTGTATTTTGTATTATTGATAAGATCAGCATTTACATGTATATATACACCACTAAAACATGATCATAACCAACTCAGTAAAACAGTTATAACTAATTTATGCTCATAACTAACTAATGAGCTGTATAGTTGTATCAACTAACTACTTTAACTAACAACTAATTACTTAACTAATTGCTATCTATCTATTATCTTCAATACTCCCCCTCAAGCTGTATGGTGCAAATAAGTTGTATACACCCAGCTTGGATAATAGGAAGTCATGTTGAGTTCTCCCTAAACTCTTTATTAGTATATCAGCCAGCTGCATTCTTGAAGGCACATGCTCTGTCTGAACGAGTCCTTCTTGTATTTTCTCTCGAATAAAGTGGCAATCAATCTCTATATGTTTAGTTCTTTCGTGATAGATAGGATTAGCAGCAATTTGGAGTGCTGCTTTACTATCACAAAACAACCTAATTGGTAATTCCAACTCTATCTTCAGCTCTTTGTACAGACCTATTAACCACACCACTTCTGACACAACATTGGCCATGCTTCTGTATTCTGCTTCAGCAGAACTTCTTGACACAGTTTTTTGTTTCTTCGACTTCCATGAAATCAATGAATCTCCAATTTTCACCACAAAACCACTAACAGATCTTCTTGTCATAGGACATGTAGCCCAATCAGCATCACAATAGACTGAAAGTTGTTTACAAACCTTTGATGTCAGCATAATTCCCAGACCTGGTGCATTTTTTAAGTATCTTATTACTCTTAATGCACCCTCCATGTGTGACTTCTTAGGTTTGTGCATAAATTGGCTGAGATTCTGCACTGCATAACTAATGTCTGGCCTTGTCATGGTGAGGTATAGCAGCTTACCAACTAGTTTCTGATAGCCAGTTGGATCATCAAGAACTATGTCTTCATGTGTATCTTGAGCTTCATAGCTCATGTCAAAATCTTGACTAGTGAACCTTTGATTAACTTCCAAAGGTGTGCCAACTGGTTTGGTGCCTGCAAGACCAAAATCTGAAATAAGGTCCAAGGCAAACTTCCTTTGACTCACCATAATACCATCTTTGCTTCTTGCTATTTCAAGACCAAGGAAGTATCTCATCTCCCCCAGGTCCTTGATCTTGAAATGAGTGTTTAACATGAGTTTAGTGGCTTGAATCAACTGAGAAGAAGAACCAGTGATCAGAAGATCATCCACATAAACTAAGACAAGAACCAAATCAGAACCAGAACATTTGGTGAATAAAGAATAATCATAGTGACTCTGAGTGAAACCAGAACTTATAAGTGTCTCACTAAGCTTCAAATTCCATTGTCGAGAAGCCTACTTCAAACCATAAAGTGATTTGTTCAACTTACAGACTTTAGACTCCCCCTGTTGTAGCAAGCCAGGTGGAGGAACCATGTACACTTCCTCAACTAAGTCACCCTGAAGAAAGACATTAAAAACATCCATTTGATGTAGAAACCAACCATGCATAGCAGCTAAAGAGAGTACTACCCTCACTGTTACCATTTTAACAACAGGAGAGAATGTCTCTTGATAATCCAATCCTTCTTGCTGTGTATATCCTTTAGCTATAAGTCGAGCTTTATACCTCTCTACCTCACCTTGAGCATTAAACTTGACCTTGTAAACCCACTTACAGCCTATAGCCTTCTTCCCAAGAGGCAATGGTACTAGATCCCAAGTATGATTATCATGTAATGTCTAGCTCCATAGCTTGAATCCAATGTGAATGTTGCACAGCCTCATTGTAAGAGGTAGGTTCTGGTATAGCTGAAAAATTACACAGTGACTGAAAATATGGTGTAGAAATGGAATAATAGGACATGTATGAGGATAAAGGGTGAGCAGTAGAGTAAGTAGGGGAATGTGTAGGACTGTGTGTAGCAGTATGAACAAAGTCATGTAACCATCCAGGAGGTTTAGAATATCTAGTAGACCTTCTAAGGTCAGTTGTAGTAGAAGTGTCAAAATGGTGAGAGATTGGACTAGGTGAGGAAGTGTCAATTGTTGTGAAGGTTTGATCTGGAGAAGTAATAGATGCTTCATGCAAAGGGATAGTAGGAGAATCATCATAAACAAACATATCAGAATTTTCAAAAAAAGAAGAATCACAGGACTCATCTTGAATATGCTGAAATGGATATTGATCTTCTCTAAATGTAACATCTCTACTAATGAAGAAGGTTTGAATAGATAAGTCATATAATTTGTATCCCTTTTGGGTGGTAGAATAGCCCATAAGCACAGACTTGATGGATCTTGTGTCAAATTTATCACCATGAGTATGGTGATTGACAGCATAGCATAAGCAACCCATAACTCTAAGATGATGTAGAGAAGGTTATTTGCCAAAAAACACAGCAAAAGGAGACCTTCCTGATAATGCAGTGGATGGTATTCTGTTAATCAAATAAACTGCATTTTGAACACACAGACCCCAAAATCTGATAGGCAAATTATCTTGAAATCTAATAGCTCTAGCAACCTCTAGAATCTGTCTATGTCTCCTTTCTACTACCCCATTCTGTTGGGGTGTGTAAACACAAGAGCTTTGATGAACAATACCTGCTGTTCTAAACAACTCACTACAATGAGAATTAAAGAATTCTGTACCATTATCACTTCGAAATATCTTGATATAACCACCAAATTGCCTTTGTATTAGCTGAAGAAAGTCTTTCAATACAATGAATACATCACTTTTATACTTGAGGAGGAAGATCCATATCATTCTACTACAATCATCTACCAAAGTAAGAAAGTATCTATTTCCATCATGAGTAGGAAATTTATATGGACTCCAAACATCAGCATGAATCAAATCAAACACATTATCAGCTCTAGTAGGACTTTAAGGAAAGGGCAGTCTAGTTTGCTTGGCCAAAGGACATATTGGACATGATGTCAATTTTGAAGAACTAGAGATGTGTGGTATTTGCATTTGCTGAAGAACCTTGTGAGGAATATGTCCTAATCTTCTATGCCACAAATCAACATCATCCAATGTACTCAAAGCAACTAAAGGAGAAACAGAAGAAGCAACAGTTGGAGAAACAATGTGTGACCAATCGTACAAACCATTTTCCATGCTACCAGTCCCCTTCACTTTCCCAGTGTGAAGGTCCTGCAATATGCAATGATCAGGATAAAACACCATGCAACAATGCAGCTCTTTAGTCAGCTCAGAAACTGACAGTAAGTTGTATTTGAAATCTGGAATATATAGAACATGAGATATATCTCTTTGTGTCAATCTAGACTTCCCACTAAAAACAATTGGTATTTTTTGACCATTAGGCAAATGAACCTTATTATATTCAGTTGTAGGCAGTAGTTGAGTATCATGGAGCAAGTCTGGAGTAGAAGATATATGATTTGTTGCACCTGTGTCAACTATCCATCTATGGCTAGATGAATTATGTACTACTGAACAGTTAACAATACCTGCAGTGTTAGTTGAAGGAGTAGTATTAGGATAGCTGAGTTGATTGCTTGTAAAAGCCATGTTAACACCAGCTCAGATTCCATCAAAATTCTGGAGAAGAAATGGCGTTCAGATCCAAGGAAATGATGAAAAAGATAGTGAAGAATATAGGTGGAGAGAAGAACATGGCATCTGGAGTTAAAGAACGGCTTGAGAAATGCGTGCCAAATGCAACATAGTGGATTGAATAGTTTTCATCTTAAATGTACAATTTTTTTGGAAGTTTGTGGTAAACTGGAAGTGGGTGTGATTCTGTAAAATATAGTGTCTCGTAATGGGCTAGATGTTATCAGAAGGCATCTTCTGTTTTATAGTGTAAATATGGAAGTCTGCTTACCATGAATACAGTGGAAACTACAAAACTAATGAGTAACAAAATTCCAAAAAAACATCAAGATTATTAACAGTGCAAAGGTTAGCCCAACTAAAGAGGCTAACCAAACATCTAGCCTTCAAAAATCCATACACCATCGAAGCATCTGTGTTTCCTCTCAATCCTAGTACACCAGAAAATTCTTAATGGCACCATGTTTCAGATGGACTTGTTAATTTCCGTTGAGCTCCTGCTCACATAGGCATCTCTTACTGACAAAGGTACTTTCCATTTCAATCCAAAAAATGTTTAGAAACAGATTCCAGCTGTCAGTGGCCACATGACAGTGAAGGAGCAGGTGGTTGATGGATCCAGCATCTGGCTAGCACATGAAACATCTGTTTGCTAGTTGAAAGTTCTTTCTAGTTAGATTGTCTTGGGTGAGGCAAACACCCTTTAGAGCCAACCAGCACTTTTGGTGGAACTTTTGTTTTCGGAACTAGTTTCGATGGCCATAAGTCAATTATCATACTGTTTGGGCACATTATACCTTACCATAACGGTGTAAAGAGTTTCCTTAGAGTTGTTCCACTTCAGTTTGTCTCTCTATTGTTTTCAGCATGTCAATGAGCTCATCTATCTTCCCCTTAAGACGGGGGGTTCCAAGTGCTGACTACTCTATTATGACAAATAAGAGAGTCTGGATTGCTTGCAGCAAGGAACATATTTGGGAATACTCATTTTTCAGTCTAAAATGTTATGTTGGTCCCATCTCCCACCTAGAATTGGAGAAAGCTTCCCATTGAGTGTTATGTGTTTGTAGTTGCTTGAAACTTTTAGTTGGCTTGCAAATGCTGGTATTTGTAGTCTGCTGCCTTTGGATTGTAGTTATTTCTAGCTCCCCAAAGATAAGTTCATATTTTGAACTGCAGTGTGTCATATGTGGTGAATCATAATAAACTGTCATTCTTTACTTCCCCCAAAAAATAAATTGTGATTTGTTTATTTGAACAGGTCTAGGAGGACTTGGAAGCCTAATGTGCAAGAGAAACGGCTTTTCAGCTACATCCAATTTGTGTCATGCCTTGCGATGTATTGACAAGGCAGGCTGAAGACACCTTACCATGAGATGGACACTGAATTAGGCCTGTTAAGATTGAGAAGTTGTACGAGGAACTTGGGAAAATGGAGCTAGTTTTCTTTACACCCGAAGAAGAAACAAAACTTGAAGAGCAATTTAAGGAAGTGAAGTTGGAAGAAAGAGCAGCCCGTAGGGAAGCCAGAAGGAAGATGTATGGTTGGTCACCAAAATCTGAGGTAAAACCAGATTCTGAAGGAGAAGGAAGCTTACCAACTGATTTCCATGAAGGGATGGTCGCCAATGCTTGAAAACACAGAGCAAACGTTGTTGGTCGTAGTGACTTCGTATTCCTGATATGTATTCATATCCATGAATTTTGCCTAGCATCTGCTTTAGTGTAATGTTTTTCTGCATATATTGCCAGAATCCGTGTTAGCAACACTGCACTAACCTTCCCCTTGTGCAGAGTGTGAGTCTAAGAAAGGCCATAGTAACCTTACCTTGCATTTCTCTCTACATTGCTTTCTACCTATTGGAAATATCTTATTCAAGATGCTTTACTGCACTAATTAATTTGTACATGCTGTTTCTACAAGTTATATATATTGGTATAATAGAAGATAATTTTAGATTTACAACTTCTATTTTGTAAAGGATTGTTTCATCTCTGATTTGCTATCTCTGTCTGTACTATTTCTGTAAAGGATCTCTCCCTAAAGTATGTTCTTAAAAGCCGATACCATCTTTGGTGAAAACAGAAAAACAAATGCTAATAGTGCTCCGAAAAGCATTTTCATAAAATATTGCATGGGATCATTGTCAACTTCTTCCTCTGTGCCAGTGGACGTTGACATTGCCACTGTCGAGGGCAATGCTTCAATAACAGCATCTGCCAGATCAGTTATAAAAGAGGAGGTGCAATTCAGAGCAGGAACACGACCCCAATTTTCAATTCCCGATTCAAGAGCTAACTCCTTGTATTCCATATCAATCTCTTCAAGAGTCTCTATATGCTCACTCACAAAGCTGAAATTCCAATAGCATGGATACATTAAGTGACATATCAAGAATAAAGCAAGAGATTGTGTTATCTGGCAGACAAGTAAAAAGTAAGCCAACACATGAGAAGAGCATCTTAATTGGCATTTCAACTTCCAAGGCCTAATACTCTTGAAGTGGTGGTGATAATTGAAGTTCTTCGTTCGGGGTCGATAAGTTTCAGGTGCTAGAATGCGTACCTTACTGGAACAGCCAACAGAGACTTAACACCTTTCTGTCCAAGCTCAACAAGAACTTCATCAGTGTATGGCTTCAACCATTGGACAGGACCAACTCGGCTCTGGAATGCAAAAGGATAATACCGAATTATCACCACGAGGGAAAAGTGCCTTCATCCCACTATATTTCGTTTTTGGTATATTTTATGCATACAGGAACTTCCCACATAAATGAAATTGCTTTTCTTCATTTTACATAGTATAGGGGTAAAATGTGATGAAGGATTATAAACACCTAGTTTGGAGAAGAGTTGGGAAAATCTGAAATGTAAAAAAGTCTAAAGTTGGTAGAAAAGAAGTTGCATCAAATTTGAAATAATACAAGTAAAATTAACATCAATTCGAAATGTTGAGGGATGAACCTTTGGCATTTTTGGGAAAACGTCATATTTTATGAAACAGACCAAGATAGAAGTAAAATGGGGAAAAGGGGAGTCATATTCTGTCTCAAACCCCTATAAACTTCCTCACAAGAAAAGTCTCTTTAAAAAATAGGAGGAAGGGAAAAAAAAGGAGAAAAATATGGAACTGTTCCATTTTGACGAGAACACTCATCAATAAAAGCGCATAGAATTTGGCTAAATTGAACTTTGAGTCATTGCAGCGTGGAAAAATACATTTATTTCCGAAATCTAATAAATCACTTAGAGGGCACAATTAGGAAGAGAACATGGTATTGCAGAATGTGGAGAACTACGGGTAACACAAAAAGTGATCCGGAGGACTTGAGCTTTTGGGAAAAACCTGGTAAGCTAAGGTATGATCATTGTTGATTTCTCTAGCTTTCAGCTCTTTCATTATCAAGAAAATGCACTCTTCCATCTGATCTCTATATGGATCACCAGCATTTTCAACATAACTGACTGGCACTCCATGGGCACTAAAGAAAATCATGACCTGCGAATACATCCCTCTTGGAATTGAGTTGGAAATAGCAAAAAAATCCCAGTAAAAATAAAGAAAGGTTCATCACCAAACTAAAAGCTAACCATGATGATCAGAAACTAAGGCCACACAAATCAAGAAATAAGATATGCTACCTCCTCAGGCTTAGTGAAATTATGTAACTCCTGCTCAATCAAGTTTGCCATGGACTTGATGTAACCTTGTCGTTGGTACCAGGATTCAATGACAGCAACTGGCAGTCTGGACAGATAAGAGTCTTCTCTGGGAGTACACAAAAAGTTCAGATATTGATTAGACAGGAAAATGTATATTCATACACTTCAATTTAAGAACATGAGACTCCATAAATGCAGTAACCAAATAAAAAAGAAAAAGAGAGTTACTTGAAAATATTCTGAAGGGCACGGACACTTGAACCAGTTGTAGAGATAGAGTATTGAGGATATAAAGGCAGTACAACAAGCTTTGTAATCCCGTCTCTTTTTATCTGCACCACAACAGCGAACTCTAATTCAGATCAAACTTAAGACCTATGAATTTTCAGCTCAAGAGTGATTCTTAGGTCCATTCAATCCCAACTATTCATTTGGGTGTCCTTGAAAGGACAACTGCTGGTTGGGATCAAGTAGGTGCAGAAAACATGTTCCACCCAAGAATTTCAACACATAAATCTTTTTAAATAAAAAAATATTTATAGGATCTCAAATATAAATAGCTGGCAGTTCATCAAAAGAATCAGCATATAATTATTTGACTATATCTGTACATAAAATTAGTGAGGTTGTATTACAACTTACAAGCTTGCTAAGAAAAGCGGAGCACATTAACAAGACTTTGCTTACCAGAAGACAAAACTCTCATCCAGATAAGTTAATGAAAAGAAAGCATAATGAATTTTATTTAGTATTATTTCCAAACAATGTATTCAGAACACAACACATGAACACAACACATAATTGCTAAAACTATCAATTTCGCTTCTTAAAAATGAAAATGGCCATGATTATCTTCGAAATGTGAATTACTCTTGGCCAGGCTTCAACAAAAGGGGTTTATTTACCAATTGAAAAATCAGTAAATAATAGTACAGATCACTTTTTTAGTGGAGATCTATATATCACTGAATATTCTTAGCAGAATTGATTTAAACAAATGCCAGAGCAAAACATTAGCTCCTCATAAATGGACATTGACAGACAAGTTAGCTTATTATATGAAACATTCTAATCGTGGACTTAGACGGATGTTAGGTGGACTTGAAAACCCCAAAAAACAAAAAAAAAAAGCTATATTTTAATATATTGCAAGCTGAAAAGGAGCTTCTTCAATCCAGGTTTTGCTTGTAAAAAGCTTTCCAGTCCTCCAATTTTAGTTCAGTAGTACTTATCAGATGTTTTTTAGTTGAGTAGTAATTTCTTTTTATCAGTAAAATGATCAGTAGTACTTATCAAACAATTCTTTTAGTTGGGTTTTGCCTTACTTTTCAATAAAAGTTGCACATACCGATAAAAATGAGAGTTGGCTTTAATGCTTTGGTCATGTCTAAGTAGACCTTCTGATGCAATGGGTTCTAGGAGTGAAAAAAAAAAATAGGAAGCTGTCTCAAAATACCAATAATCTCCCAGAATCCACGCAACTTGGAGAAAATAGAGCATGGGGAAAGAAAAAGATCCCTTAGCAGTACCACCCTAGTTGAGATTAAGGCTTATCTTCTTGGTATGTCTCCAATTTAATAAGAGTCTTTTGAATCTCTTCAGGGATCGTATATGTGATATGTCAATCGAAAATCTAGCAATATTAACGACTTAGAAAACCTAATGTATTGAAGATTGGAAATGGAGCTAAATGAGAATGAAATTGGTAGCAAGGATTCACATAATCCCCACTAGCTCGGGATTAAGGTTTAATTCTTGTTAAACATGGGTTACTGTCACCGATATCTTATTCTTCTGTTTCATGTACAATATTTATTTCAGGTTTAGACATTTTACACATGCATTGCCGAAAGCAAATCAGGCCCAAAGAAGCTGTTTGACTTGGCACTGAATAAAGCTAGACATGAAGTCCAATCCAGTTTAATTACTGTTGGGATAAACAAAAGACAGAAGGTTTTCCGTGGAGGAGGACGAGAAAAGAGAGGAAAGAGGAGAGAGGAGGATATAACACAAAGAACACAGAAACCTTTAGCTCAGCATCTTCCCTAAAACTACATGAAGGAAGGATGGAGAGAGAGGCGTCTTTCTTCTTCTTTATTTCTTTTCTCCTTTTGAGTCTTATTTTTTGGGTGGGGAGACAGAATCAATAAAATAGATATCTCATGATCAGGCGGAGCCAGAATTATCAGTAAGAGGGTTCAAACATTGAAGAAATAGACACACGAAGTAGCCAAAGAGGGTTCGACATTTACTACATATACCTAAAAAATATTTTAACCATATAAAATAATATAATTTTCAGCCGAAGGGGGTTCCCCCTGATTACAATGTGGCTCCGCCACCGCTCATGATCCATTATGTAGAAAATCATCTATTATTATTGTTGCTAACTTAATCATTTATTATTCATCTGCTACTTTCCCCAATAAAAAGTTTTTTCTGAAGTTACTAGTAAAAAAGAAGATTTCTACAATCAAGATCCTAGATAATATTGCTTTATGGTAAGACAAAGTGTATAATCATAAGAACTTTTAAAGAAACGAAAAAGGGAAAAATGATATATCTATATATACATATAGACACACACATACATACACCTGCGAAACTGCAAGAATAGCAGAGATGAGCTAAACTCCATTTTCTACGTAAAGCTCAAAGTCTAAATATGACAATGAAACTCAGAACATAGAACAATTGCAGCGAACATGTAGTACAAGTTATATATAAACATAGATATAGAATGAAAAAGCATGTGGTATACCATTATTTATACTCATTATACAGTAAAATACAAGCTGGGATTTGTAGCATATGTGCTACAGAAAACATATTTTACGTCATAAGGTAACAAAATGACAGAAATCAAGAAACACTGCCAAAGTAGTTGTAAGATGTGTAGGATCTATACTTCTACCATTTTTTATTCTACCTAACAGAATTACTCCGTTTTTTATTGATTCTTTATTCTTATTTAGTAGGATTTATAATTTGTGCTTGTTAATTAGTACTTCTGTGAATTGCGCCCGTGTTCAAGCTCTCAAAACAAATTAGATTTATTTGAAAAGTATAAATGAAACTAGTGTTCGAATGACTTGTTGAGATTATAGTGTAAGCACATGAGAGAAGACACAGACATGATCAAACAAAAGATCAAGACAAGAAAATGTCAACTGGAAGGATCAAGGATGCACTTTAAGCTACCTGGTGAACAGCTTCCTCGGTGAACGGGTGCCAGTACCGCATCGCAATATAAACATTAGCAGGGACTTCCTTTGTTTCTAGCACCATTTTTAGTGCACTTGCCTGTAATGATGAGCTTAAGAGGGTTATAACAAGTTGAAAACGAACCATCATAATGAAATAAAAATCAGTTAGCACAGAGCACATAAATAAACAGAGGTGTTTTTGTACCTGTTCATCTGTTATTTTTCGTAAAGGAGAACCACCTCCAATTGCAGCATATCCTTCCTTACTTTTCGAAGCTCGGAGAACAGATATAAGTTGTGCCAATGGGCGCTGGAGAAAAAGGAACAATCTGGGGAGCCTTATAATATCCTGCCACGCAAAATTCATACCATTAAGCATAAACACAAACAATGAAACTAAATTATTCAATTTCTTCAGCTTAGGAAAAATAAAAGGAGTTAGACTGATTGTTAGCTTACAGGATCAGCAAATAAGTTGAACAGAAAAGGCTGGACATCATGAAGCGTGTCTGGTCCGCCAAGATTCAAAAGTAGCACTCCGATCTTTTCTTCAGCTGTCTGTGAGGAAGACTCAACGATGCTCCCTGGATACGTAGACAATCCAACAGAGCAGAACGTTTTGCCAACTACATCTCTCTTGTGCAATGGGCGATGTAAAGACAATCCTCCACCTACACTGCTTCTTTTAAGAGTGAGTTCAGAAGATAAAACTGTAATCTCTCGCTCATCAGAATTCATTTCTCGCCCACCATGTGAGGAATGGCAAGCAGGCATTAACCTTGTCCGCGTGCAGCATCTGCCATGAGAAAGATTCACATTCAGTACATCATTTTGGCATTAAAATTAGCATGGAAATGAAAAATCTATGTCTATCCCATCAGTAGAAAGGTTATTTTCCCCTCACAATAGAGTCTATCGAATCATCATACTTAAATACACTCCCTCTATTCGATTGTCATTACAAAGTTATATATATGTAAAGACTAACTTCCTAAATTTTGTAAACATAACATTTTCCCCATACTATAAGCTACCAGATGACCCCATTTACCTACCAAACCCAAAACATCCTAAACCTTTGAGCAAGATTCTGACTTTTCAAACAATTCATATAATTGATCAAATCAAACGTCCACAAAGAAAAAAGGAACTCAATCCTTACAAAAACATAAATTGACAATAACAGAATTTAACAACAACCCAAATGAAAAAAAGAAAGAAGTTTCCAAGAAATGAAAACCCATAAAAGCTTACATGGAAGATTTAGAAGTGAAACTGGCAAATCTAGAACTTGGAACCTTAGTCGGTTGAAGAAGTCGAGAGATCGTCCCTGTTTCCATGATCTACTATGTGATGATTTTCTTCTATCAAAACTTCCCAAAAAGAGATCTCAGTCTTGTTTTTTATGGGTCTAAAAGAAAAAAATACTATTAAATGCAGAAAAATGGATAGTTCGTGGATTTTTTTGTGAGAAAAAATTACTATATTTAGGTAAACATGTATGAAATGCCAAAAATAGTGTAATACATTACAAATACTAAAGAAGATCATTTTCATTTATTAGCCAATGACTGCGAATAAATTACAAACACTATAATTATTGATCTCTACAGAGAGTCTTAATATATCCTACAACTATCACAAATCTTCCTTTGAAATCAGGATGAAGAAATCAAATGTTTTCATGGATATGACTTGGGTAAGGCTAGGTCATACTGCTTTGCATGGTATGAGGAGATAGTCTATTAGACTCAGATGATTTCAAGCAAATGGTTCGACTTTTTTAAGAACCTCTGGGCTTTAAGGTATTGTAAATTCAGAAGGTCAAATTGGCAGCAAAATCTTTGAACAAATCACTTAAAGATTGCCTATACTCGACATATCTACACTTTCATGGAACTATTTGATTGATCAGTCAATATTATAGTACTCTAATAGAAAATCTTTTCACTACATAATAAATAAGTGTATGTCGTGCAAAAGAAGATGAACATGAAATCTAAATAATCATTCTTGTTGGTTCACACATTCAATATCACACAGAAAGAAGGGCGAGAGTAACATAAAGAGTAATATGTAATTTCACTCACAATTTGTACACACCTGAAGTTTGCTTTGCATGATATCGTAAAAAGTATGAACTCGGCTTACCTAATTAAAAATAGATACTAAATGTGCTAATTTTTTCTATTATATTAGAAGTGTCACTTTAAAAATGGGTTCAACATGTGTGCTTAAGGACAATTTGTTATTGTTTAGGGGTATTTTAGACTTTATAGGTTGGACCAAATTGCTACGTGTCATTTGCCCTAAAAATTGAAGAGTCATGCATCACTGCATTTGGCCTGTGGCAATTTCTCCAGCCCTAAAACTTGAAGAGCCACGGATCACTGCATTTGGCCTGTGGCAATTTCTCCATTCTTCTCTCTCTCGGTCATGGAACCTGTTGCTTATCATATTGATTTTTTTCGCCATTTTTGGGGATTTATTAGAGCGTAAACAATTCGGTATTGCAGTAAGAGATAACATTCATCATCTTTCTAGCCGAGAAAAATCAAAGAGAGCAAAATTATTGTTTTCAATTTACTTATAGTTGCATGGTTGTGGGTTTCCTTCCAGCTCTCATCTATTCATTGAGTTTTTGTCCTTGCACAACCTTACGCCTTCCATTTTCTCTGAGTACAACTTCATTTTTAAGGTAATTTGTTGTGTCTGTCTTCAATTTTTGGGCTTCAATCTCTTAGTTCTTGGCATGCTTTCACTTCGATTGTGTTTTAGTTTCAATTTTTAATCATATATTTTTTTATTTAATTTTTGGTATATGGACTCATTTATATATATATATTGTGAGAATTTATGTTTTATGTGTTGGGATAATTTTCTCTGGTTTTATCTAGTCTCTCAGTTAATAATGATTTCTTTATTCAAGTTTTATGTGCTTATCATTCTAGATTAGCTAATATTGAGACACTTCAACTAAATGGAAACAAAAACTAATTAAGGTAAACAAAATCAATTTTTCATAATAAAAATATAACACAAGCAAGGAAATAATTCTCACATTTAATATAACGATGATCATTATAGAAGATTTATTACTGAATACATAATAAGATTTGAATTTGGATGGTCAAATGATAACAAAAGGGTCAATTTTTTAAGAAAAAAACAGTACCAAGTGTACAACTGAACTGATCAGTGGCTTGAGAAATTGAAATTTTGTTGTTAATGGAGCCCAACATGATAGTATGGTACAAAAGTGCAAATTTCAGACCATTTCAAGTTTTTGATTCTTTTAGATTATTCTGTTAACCTAAACTCCATGTCAGGTACTAGTTTTCCCATCTAGCTAATTTGGATTAAAATACTCTTTAATAGCAAGATCCACTCGATGGATGTCAATATTGGTTTAGGTGGTAAAATACTCTTTATCAGTGACAACTTTATACCAAGTACTCAAATTTGAGCCTCTAATTACTAATGAAGTGAATAGTATTTACCACTCTACCGCAACCTTTTTGATCTGTTGCATTAATTAATCATTGATTTCGCAATGCCATGTGAAGCTCTACTTGCATTGCATTGCCCATATTAATTCATTGTCTTGCCTTTGGTAGTTTAACCTAGACACTCTTCCTCTCATCTCAAGTACTAAGCTTCCCCTTCATCTAATGACCACAAATGCTTAACTAATTGAACTTAGCTATCACATTAAATTGTAAAACCACCTACCTACATTCTATTATTTTTCTTTCATTAATGCTTTCGAATTTTCCTAGTAATAGTGTTACATCTTCCATCTACTTTATTTTCTCAAAAAACTATAGAAATAATAACACCTCAACGTGATTTTAATTACATAGTATGGAGTTTTTACTCTTTAGTAAAGGCTGCTGCATTTTATTTATTAAGTGATACCTAACCATTAGTGCAACCAAAATTAATGCATCATTTTCCTTCTTACTGAGGGATTATTGGCATTGCAGAAAGCAGCAACTCCCAAAGTCAGAAAACTAAAACCATTAGGTGGTCCTAAAGACTGATGAACATCAATAAAAAAAATTACGAGGTAATAATAAAAAGGGGGTAACAAGTTGTTGATAACTTATGAACATCGTTAAGAAAATTATGGTACAAAATCACAGAAATTTGAGCCTCAGTTTGAGCAGTTGGTGTTGTTGCTATCGCCCTCTAGCCGAGCTTCTGACTTGTTGTCGTTGGTTGGGCTGCTGGCGGCCTGGAGTTCGCTGTGGAGAAGAGATGGGACGGGGATAGAGGAAGAAAGAAGAGAGGAGGGGAAAAGAGAGAGGGGTCGAGGAAAGAGGAGAAGAGGAAGACGAGAGTTCGAGAGAGAGGAGTCTTCGCCGGTGCTGCTGCTCGCCGGTGATCCGTTCGGAGGAGGAGAAGAGGAAAGCGGGGCGAGGGGAGAAAAGATGAGGGAAAGAGAGAGGCGGGTGAAGGGGGTGGTAATTGAGAGATAAATTTGACTTAGGGTTTCGATATTATCATTGGTCAAATATGCTCCTAAACTATTAGATATATTTTCCGTTTAAAATTTGGTTCACTTATGCTATTACTGTCCAACTTTTGGTCCAAATATGTTTTATGTACGTTAATTGTCATGTTGGACATATCCAACTCATTTTTTATTTCATTAAATTCCACATGAAATTGTCATGTCATTTTGACCTTACCACATGACATTTATATGAAAATGGAAAGATATTCGGATTCATAAACACCCAATCAAACCCATAAATCAGCTCCTTTTAAATACGTTATCCGACCCATTTTTAATAATTTCGTTTAAATTTACTTTTTTAATAAATCCCAAAAATGAGTAATTGATTAATAAAAAAAAGAAAAATATGAAAAAAAAATATAAAATTAAAACAGAAAATCCACAAATAAATATAGTATCCTTAAATTCAATTTAAACACTTTTTTAAAAAAAAAATTATAAATCCCGAAAATGAGTAATTGATCTGAAAAAAATAAAAAATTAACGCCAAAAATAAAAAAATAAATACACTAACCTTAAATTCAACAATTTCAATATTTTTTTAATTTTTAGTTTTTTTGGTAAATCCAAAAAAAGAATTTATTATTAATAAAAAATATAAATTTTACGCAAAAAAATCACAAAAATAGGAAAATATGAAAGAAAAAAATATAAAATAAAAAAATGTTGAAATTGTTGAATTTAAGGTTGCATATTTATTTGTGAATTTTGACGTAAATTACTCATTTTCGAGATTTGTCAAAAAAAAAATTAAAAAATATTGTAGATTGAAATGTTACTATATTTATTTGTGAACTTTTGGTGTTAATATTATATTTTTTTTCATACTTTTGATATTTTTTTATTAATCAATTACTCATTTTTTAAATTTATCGAAAAAATAAAGTTTTTAAAAAATATTGAAATGTTAGATTTAAAATTACTATATTTATTTGTGAATTTTCGGCGTTAATTTTATATTTTTTTCATATTTTTTTTATTTTTTAATAATCAATTACTCATTTTCGGGATTATCAAAAAAGTAAAATTAAACAAAATTATTAAAAATGGGTCGGATAACGTATTTAAAAGGAGCTGGTTTATGGGTTGAATTAGGTGTTATGAGTCTGAATATCTTTCCATTTTCATATAAATGTCATGTGGTAAGGTCAAAATGACATGGTAATTTCATGTGGCATTTAAAGAAATGAAAAATGAGTTGGATATGCCCTACATGGCAACTAACGTCCATATGGACATATTTGGACCAAAAGTTGGACGGTGAGGGCATAAGTGAACCAAATTTTAAACGGAGGATATATATAGTTGAATAGTTTAGGCGCATATTTAACCCTTTTTCCTTTTTTAATTAAAAATTTGTACTTTTTCACATTACACACAAGCACTAATTGACTCAACATGTAAGTAATTTATGCAGCCCTCTAACTAAGTTTCTGTACAGATGACAATCAATACACAACATCGAAAATTATCATACAGTTAAATTCTTAATTATCACTAGTCAACACACAGAACCTTGCCATTCCATCTTCTTCTAACTCAACAGATTTGTATAGCTAAGGATTCCTAAAATCACATCATCTAGATCTAAATCTAATAAAAGACGTAAAAACATAACATACTCCATCAAATTTATGTAGATCTACTAACATAAATACACATATAAGATCTGTCCATACAAAACAAGCAAGCAAACATAACATACACAGGAAAAAATTGCTATTTGACCAGATCTGTAGTCAGAACAAATCGAAATTCACATATCAAAGCAAATTTCGTAATTTCGAACACACCGAATAGATTAATTAAACAAAAACATGTAACATACACACGAAAAAATTGTGATTTCATCAGATATGTGATCAGATATGATAGAAATTAACAGATCTAAAGCAAACTCCGTGATTTCCAACCTCCACCGACTCAACTTATCTAACAAAAACAGATAACTTATACATGAAAAAACTGCGATTCATGGTCAGATCAGATCCAAATTAACAAATCTAAAGCAGTACATCAACGATTATAAGTTAATAAAGTAAAAACTCGAGATTAGGTGATCATAAGAGAGAAATCTTACCTTGAAACGGTGCCGGGAATCAAATGAGCGAGCGAGAGAGCGATTGATCGGAAGCAGGAGAAGTAAATTATTTTTGACCTCTAATTTTATAATAAAGTACTAATAATAACATTATTTTTATCTACTTGTATGATATGTTATATATTTTCTAAGTTTGATCATTTGTCTTGATTGTTATTTTTAGATTTAAATTATAAAAAATTAAATTAATATTTTAAGATATATTTTTTTATTATATTAATATGTAAAAAATTATAATTTATAATATTTTTCGTATAGTTTTAAAATATTTAATTTTTTGTTTAAAATATCAAATTAATTTGATCTAATTTAATTATAAAAATTAGTTAAATTAATTTTTGAAAAGCGCAACATGACAAATAATATCAGACGGATGAAGTACTAATATAGAAACACCGAAAAAAGTTTTTTATTTATTTTAATTTTAGAGACAAAGTTAACTAATATTTTTTGCTAGTGAAAATTGATAAATATCTTGAATAATTAATTAAAGCGTGAGAAAATTAATACGGATTATCATTTAGAGAAAAAAAAACATTATCGAATAAAAAGTTATAATATGTATATTAATCCAAACGGCCTCTTTCGACTCTTCTAGAGCCAACAGCAGACATAGTGTTTGACTTGTAATCTAACACATTGTATTTCTATAACCTTTTTCCTTTTTTATAATATGAGTTTTAATGGAATTAGCATAATTAGTCAAATAAATAAATAAATATATACATAAGAATGTTCCAGAAAATATAAAAGTGTGACAAATTATCATGTCATGAAATTTTAAAAATTTTTGATATATTCTCTCTACACAATGACAATTGATTAATAAGGGTAAAATTCGAAGTCTTAATTCACATTTTTCACAATTGTGTTACTTGCATTGCAAGTTGCTAACGTAATCTACAATCTTTTCCAGATTTATTTAACCAACAACTCTATTCTTCAAAATGTTTTGACAACGAAAGCCGCATAAAAAAATAAATCTTAGACTTAACTTAGTATTAAAAATTAACAATCATGTAAGAAGTTAATTATCGATTTCATATTTTATTGTGGGACTCTAAAAACTCTTATAACGCATATACCTCAATAAATAAAGCGTGAAAGTATAATACAAGAGTTCAATAACTATGAACAAAGAACTGAAATCATTCTGGCACAATTACCTTAAATAACAGTTGATTTATGTTTACGTATTGTATTCCGTTTACGTAGAGCAGACACATAGATAAATCAATAAACTAAATTTTACTTACTGATTAAAAGGGCTTGATCAAGACAAAACAGACGTATATAGTGTATGCGGAACTTATCCTTAATAGTAACAAAAAAAGTGTTTATTTCTTATATATTCTCGGCTTAAAAATTGTTCATATATAATACACTCGACTTAGAAATAACAAAAAAAAAAGGAATTCGTCGCCTGAGAGATTCGAACTCTCGCGGGGAAACCCCATGTACTTAGCAGGCACACGCCTTAACCACTCGGCCAAAGCGACTTTATTATTATGCTTAGCCTTAAACAAGTTATTTAATAAAATCTAGTTTGAGGAACTTTTATGTTTGGAATTAACAAGCTTGTATGGTAGGTTAAATTCATTGTCGAGTAACTACGAAAAAAGACTCATTTTAATAACGGTCTTTATGATGTGATTACGTATTTAATTTGTTTTGTTAGTTTTTTCAGTTTTGTCTTTACTTGTTATTTAGTAATTCTATTTTTTCTTTGACCTAATCTTTTATTTACCGTAGTTCTATTTTGTATCCCTTTTTTTTAAATATAGTTTTTTATCCTTTAGGTTATTAATGTGTGATATTATGTAACAAAAAAATGATGCAATCTAACCAAATATAGAAGTATTTACGTGACATGATTTTTAATAACATATTTCAATCTAAAAGTAATAATATTGCATGATACCAATTAAGTCATGGATCTATTGAAAATATGTGAACGTACACTTCCATACACCACATTCTCTCTAAAGCTCATTTATAATGTCAAACTGGATATATCTTTCTACTACTTGTCATAAAACTGAAAAATATCAACAACGTTAGTTAATACTCAATAGCTATATTATCAGATGGTTGATCAAATATAATTCAGTAAATAAGTGCACATAAATTTTTAAAACATATGTCGATATCTATTGATATAAATACTAAGTATGAGTGGCTAAAAGCTCGTTAGAGAGAGGTTGAGAGTTAGAGACATATTTTACAAAAGAAATTAACCAAACATCTTAGCAAAAAGTGTTATATAAGGAGAATCTTTAGTACCTCGGATATTCGATAATTGGTTACCTGAACTTCTACTTTTTTGGTGAGAATTTGATTTCTTACCTTATAATCTCCTTCACGTTTCTCCATATAAAATAACTAATGTTATATTCATCTATGAACCAATTTAAGTAGAAGAGATATGGGCTTAGATGTACTCATGCTCCAAGGTAGTCTTGGGCCCAGGTAATTGTGGGCCTTCTAATCATGGGCTCAATATGGACTTTTGCATTTCACCACTTCCTGGGGACTGGGCCATGGAACTCTTACACTTTGTTTGGATCATTGTTACCCATTGTTTCATAATGTATTATATCGTAGGGAAAATTGTATATAATAGCAAACCAATAATCTAAAATAAATGGAGTAGCTAGGGTTTGATTTAATTATGCTCCATAGCAAACGTTAGCCAAAGTTTGCCAGGCGACTCTCTCCCAAAAATCTCGCTCGCCACTCTCCCAATCTTGCTCGCCACTCTCCCATTCTCGCTCGCCTCTCTCGCTTTATACACAGAAGTGTATAATTTCTGTTTCTGTTTTGTATAAAGCGAGAGAAAATTGTATATACACATGCAAAAATATATATCTTCGTGTTATACACTTAAATATACAATTTGCAAACATTTTCCTTCAATTCAATTGTAGACAAATGCAAATTTTATACAAATATTGCAGAGAAAAGGCCAATAAATTATACAATTGCAGTGAAATACAATTTTCTCTAGCTTTATACAACAGAAGTGTACATATTATGTTTTTGTATAAAGCGAGAGAAAAACATATATCTTCTTGCTATACACTTATAGTCATGCAATATATATACTTTTTAATTCGATTCAATTGTATGCAAAGCAAATTTTATAAAAATATTGCAGCGAAATAGGCAGCGAATTATACAATTGTGCATTATACAATTGTAGTGAAATAGGATAGCGAATTATACAATTGCAGCGAAATAGGCCAGCGAATTATATAATTTAGGCCAACGAATTATACAATTGTATATGTATAGCGAATTATACAGTTTTATGTTTGCTATGGAGCGCAATTATGCAAACTTTCCTATAACATATAAATATGAATTTTTTGTTTGCTATATGCGAAAGTTGCCCTATATTGTATTGTATTGTATTCTATTGTATGGTAGATACAATATTTGGCTAGATTGTATTGTTTGTTGTTGTTTAGTAACATTTTAATTGTTTGGTTTAATTATATCATACTGTATTATAATTTATAAATTACTTAAATATCCTTAATTATTTTAGGGTAGGAGGTTTAACAAGATTTAAATAATTAAGGTAAAGGATAAAATGATATTTTGAAATATTATGTAAAGATATAATTGAAAAAAGTAATTAAGTAACAATAATAACACACCAAATTGGTTGTTCCATAAAATAGGGGCTTCTATTGTTACGTAACAACGAAATTTAACAATACATATAATACATTTTAAGTAACAATCAAAACAAATATTGTAGGTATAGTAACAATACAATACAATATAATGGATAACAATGATTCAAACACAGTGTTAGCTTTGGTTTTCTTTCTCCTTGTTTGTCTTTGTTCTTGTATGATAATATTTTTCAAACTAATAATAATTGAAGTATAATATTTAAAAGAAGTCATTAATCTTGTATTTTGAATATGAAAATTAAATTCAAATCGAATGAGTATTGTTTGAATAGCTTGAAAATCATGAGAAATCGTTATTATTATAAAATAGATTTGTTTATGTTTTAGAAATTTGATGATTGTGACTTATTTTTTATGATTTTATGATACAAGAAACTCGTATTACAAATTTAATCTTAATTGAGGTAGATTTGAGGATTAAATAGTGTTTTTAGATTGTTTAAGTTGAGAAATGATGGTTAATTTTCGGTTTTTTATTTACATAAAAAAAATAACCAAAATGCGTAGAAAGTATATATACACCAACTATACGATATAGGCTACAACTTGTCAAAAATCATAAAAAAAAATATAACTGATTATATAATATAGCTCACTTATACATAAATTATATGCTAAGTATACATTGCAATACATTAAAAAAAAATTGAATGTAAGTTAACTATATTTTATATTTTATGATCATAGATTTGTATTATCAGATTTGATCTTCCAGATGATTATTACCTTCCTTGATGCATAAATAATCTACATAGCTAATGCAACATTAGGTTCACACAGTATTAAATAGTTACAAACATAAATTATGCAGAAACAGAATTTGAAAAAAAAGAAGATATTACAATTAAAAAAAAAAGATAAAAGTACTTAAATGATCTTTAAGAAGATATAGTATCATTATTGACTAAAAAATAACATTATCTACATTTAGCAATGTGAATCATTACCCTAGCTTTTCTTTTTTCTCCCAAAAAGTTAGTAAAGAGAGTTAATTTTTTTTTGAAGGATTTTCGATTCAAATATCATATACCAAAGTTGATACGAAAAAGGAAAAATTAATAGTGAAAAAAGCAAATCAAATAATAACGGAACAATAACAATTACAAAATGATGCGAACAATAAATGATGATAGAAATCAAAAGCAAAACATAAAAATAAGGTCACTAAACTCATCGAAAAGCAAGACAACACTCCAAACTTATTAATTTTCTATTTTAATACGCAACGTTCACTCCTTCCGATCGAAAATCATTTACTTAATAATATAAAGTTAGATCATACCCCATCAAATCACATCTCTCTTTCTCCTTGTGTGCTATTAGATGTATTAGGATGAACATAAGTTCCTTGATACCTATAACTTAAAAGTTCCCTTTCAAATTATCTATAATGATTTTATATTAACGTATTTATTATTTTAATTTTTTAGAAGTTTTAAACAAAAATAGTTATTTATGTAATTTTAATTATAAGTAAGAATAACTTAGTCAAAATTCTTCCTAACTAATATTTTTTAAGAAGCTGATGATAAAAAGAAAAAAATATAATAAATAACCTGAGACGATGAATAACTTATTTATAAAAACTATACATTAAATACGGAGGTTTAGAGTATTAATGATTTTCATAAAATAAAAATAGATACAATGCAACTTCCCAAAAATGGTCGTATATGTAAGTGATTAGGCAATTAGAGCATGCCAATTTAGGTTCTTTAATTAGTGAGCCCAACATTATAGACCCTAAGTAATATATCTATCTACCCCTCCCTTTTCTATTCAATTCAAATATATATAATTTATATACGTTATGTATATTTTATAAACTAATTGATCGAAGTATTTGAGAGTCATAATTATCTATTCATTTATTTGTCTAATATTAATGCTTTGATTGTGTGTGGTTGTTCTTTGGACAAATATATTGGCATTAATCATAGCAAGCATGTGGCCCCCATCCATTCGGAAAAAAAAATTCTAAAAATTATAGATTTTAAAGTTAAAACTTGAATTTATATTTAAATTTGATTATTATATAATTACGATTGATAGAGATATTGTTATTGAGAATTCTGACTCTATATATATATGTGTGTGTAATTTTAATTAAATTTTTTTCTTCCTTTTTACCATCTATGAGCTGCCACTAATTAATTACTACTAATTAAGCCTTTAATCTTTGGTCAGCGTTTTGCATGATAAGAGTAAAGAGTTGTCCAAAACAAGAATATTAATTTCTTTCACCCTTCCAACTTAATGAAATATAATTATAATTATTAATTATAAATGATCATGTCATTTTCAATTATTAAAATCTCTGGTACTTATTATGTTTCTCATCAAGACAAATGGAAATACATTTAATTTGTCTATTTCAGTAGCTGAGTAAATTAAATTATGCTTATTATCATTCACTGAGCGAGATGAATAGAAACTTTTAATTTTTAACTAAATATTTCAAATTATTTGAGAGTATTTTTATTTTTATTGCATCTTGTAAAAGAAATTGAAAAGTATGTGATGTTTTAATTATTTATTTTCAGTTTTTAATAGTCGCGTCTTGAATATTCTAATAGCTGAATTGATTGACTATCTAAATTTTTATTTTATTGGTGAGAGTTTGTTTCTGCTTATAATCTCATTCTATATTTCCCTTTCTCTTGCTTTGAATTTTTTTTAAAAATAACAATAATAATTGTGGTATCTTCCCTTGTATAATAAAATAACAATAGGACTTCAATAAATAGATCTAATTTTTCCGTCCACCCTTATCAATAAGACCAAATATTTTTCTAATTCCACCTCCCTTTTAATTTACATCATAAATTTGGCATTTTTTGGCACAAATTAGAACCTTTTTTTTTCCTAAGTCCTTTGCCGACATAATCTTATACTTTCACTTTTAATTTATATATTACACTTTTCTTTTAATTTTATTTAAGAGTTAATGTTATTTTTATTTTTTAATTTTATTATTAACAAGAGAGTAATTTATAGTTATTATATAAATAAATACAATAACACTTTGTTTGGATTATTGTTATCCATTGTTTCATAATATATTGTATTGTATTGTACTATGTTGTATTGTATTGTATTATATGATAGATACAATGTTTGGCTAGATTGTAATGTTTGTTGTTGTTTAATAACATTTTAATTGTTTGGATTGATTGTACCATTACTGTATTGTAATTTTTGAATTTACTAAAATATCCTTAATTATTCTAAGTTAGGAGGTTTGACTAAATTTAAATAATTATAGTAAAAAGTAAAATGGTATTTTCAATATTATGTAAAGATATAACTGAAAAACGAAATTAAGTAACAATTAGGAACACACCAAGTTGGTTGTTCCATAAAATAAAGATTTTCATTGTTACGTAATAAACGAAATTTAATAATACAGTACGATACATTTTAAGTAACAATCAAAACAAACGTCGTAGGTATAGTAACGATACAATACAACATAATAAATAACAATGATCCAAACATAGTGTAAGTGTTTTAACTCAACTTCTAAATTTCAAAATTAATTTGATTAACTACTATATAACATAAATTTGGAGGAGAGGGTAGCAAAAAGCCACGATACACGATGCATGTACTTGGGGTGTAGTTACTATCTCTTTATCAAGGAATTATAATAAATTTTTGTTTGTCTATTATATTAAAATTTATTATTGTATTTTTTATTTTATAAAGAATATATTAAATTAAATATAAATAAGTAAAGATGGACGAAATAAATAGCATTAGAAGGAATAGGAAAAACCCATGTGATTAATAGCCTTTGTGTACATTTATATATAGACTTTATAGATATAGGGTTTGTATATGATAATACATCCTTGAAATTTCATTTTCTATGTGAAGTGGTATTCTTTATTAATGGACCATTTGTTTGCTTCAAGAACACTCATATTGCTAGTGCAAATGAGGCTATTTTTGAAATGGATAATATTTTGATAAAGAGCGTTTACTTATTTAAATGGAAATTACTTTGATTTAAAAATTTGAACGAAATGAAATAGATAATATTTTAATAAAGAGCGTTTATTTTTTTAGTGAAAATTAATTTTGATTCAAAAATTCGAAGAAGAAATAGTTTTGTCTCATAGCCCCCTACCTTCCACCCACCCCACCCGATAGTTTCCATCCATAGACTCACTATTTTTGCTATCTAAATATAATGACATTAGCTTAAGTGTTGCTAAAAGAAAAATTTATTTTCTAAATGTGTATTTTTAGCGGCAATTGACACTCTTTGTATATGTCCCTAATGCTTTAGCGATATTGATTCTAATAACACTTAACTAATGCCGATAAAGACTTTAACATTCTTTATTAATGTCATTATTTAATGCCGCAAAATGTTATTTTTATTGTAGTGTAAATATATCTTTTGTTATACAGCACTTTTACCTTACATAAACATAAACTGTTTTCGAATAATATTTTTTACTTACTAAATACATAAAAAAAAATTGAACTTTTCAACATCAATGCAGAGTAACTAATTTCTTCTTGAATTTTCACAATTAAACCCATAGCTAAAACATAAAATAGACTCTTCAACCACCATATGCCTTATTTTTTTTTTTTTTTTTGTTAATCTTAAGCTTCTCCATATTTATTATCCTAACCAAAACTAGTCTAAGGCATCCCCCCATCATGCATGAAAATGTGGACCAACAATATGGTGACTATGATTTTATCCAAAACAACCAAAATATTACACATGGATTTTGTAACTTGCTATTGCAACTAACCTTAATTATCACCCCTTTTCATGATATATCAGTATCAATATCTCATTTTGTTACCAACTCTACAATACCCTCAATATGAAACAAGAGGGGCCCTATTTTTATTGGACCCCTTCTGTTATATGTCTTGTTCAAGGACCATACCATTGTATACTAGTCCCTTTAACTAAAACCTTGGAAAAAAACATTTAGAAACATCTGTTTCAATTTGTTTATCTGGTTTTGACTTAATATGGAGTCGTAAAAAATTTTAAATCTTATGATGTTAAACATATTGAAAGGAAATTACAAGGTAGGAATCGAACTCTCAGTAATAAAGTAAAAGTTTAGATAACAAACCAACTAAGCTATAAAGACTCTCCTCTTAAAATGTCATGTAGAAAGTTAGAATTTAAAATTTGTCGATAAAAGAATGAAGTATTCTTTTTTTAAATGGACTAAAAATAAAGTAACAGAAACAAATTAAAATGAAGTAATTATATGTTACCAGAGACAAATTCAATATCTGAAGTCACTAGGTTCAAAATATTATGTGTACATTTTTATAAAAAATTCATGTATGAGTCGAAAGCTAAGAGTGTGAAAACGGTTGATGCTTTGCTTTTCGAAAGGAGTTTAAGTTTTATTTACTGACGTTTTTAAAAACATGTTTACGCAATCATGTTACTTATCAAGTAGTTATTGGTAAAAAGGTTCAACCATAGACATTTATTAGCTAGTAACCTGATAATAATGATAACTGATTTGATTATTGTCAGTGTATATAACTTAAAATCCTTCGTAATGATTCAATTGTCTAGTACTAGCTGGTCCTGATCTAGCATCATTGTGGAAAATGTGACTGTCAATGCACTGTACATTTACAAGATGAATGAAATGGCTTCATTGACATCACTTGTTAACAAGAAGTTGCTGCTGCAAATTAACTTAAAGATAGCATCCTTTTTCAACAATTGAATGATTTCTGTAGTTAGTTCACAAGAATCAAAAGTCTTTTTTATTTTCTTAAACACCGTGTCAAGTCGATCTGACAAAACGAAGAAAGTAGTACATGAGGACAAGAAACACAGGATTACAATGCAGACTTAGTAAACATAAGAGAAGAAGAGCATATGCATATCTTAGTAGTAGTTACATCTTACAGTAAATAAGGAAATTTCTAACTTAAAGGGCACAAGGAGGGGAGTTGAGATATGTTTTGTCATTTCTAGAGTAATTTACAGGGTGAAAAACAAAATTAGAGCACCCTTTCCCCATACCAAAAATTAAGAATTTCAGGTTAGCTTGTCCCAGTAATACGATATTATCATGTCCTAACGCGTAATAGTATGCTGCAAATCCAGCTTTCATCTTGAAATTTCTTGTGCCTGAGGGTAACCAAGTTGTTCCGTCTCCCAGTTCAACTTAGAAGCAACTCCTTCATGAGAAGGAACATACTCCTGCAATCGCAAACAAAACGTGCATTTTTTCAACACAGAGTACGACTTCAAGAAGTACTCTAACGAAGAACAAGAATTGACTTTGAATATCGCCTTTTTCTCTTACCTCCAGTTTCTTGACTAGCTCCTTTGACGATGGTGCTGATACAATGATGTGGCGTGCATTTGGGCTGATGAAACCTTCCTCCACAGCTTTGTCGATAAATGACAATAATGAATTGTAGTATCCATCCACATTCAGCAATCCTACCTGCAAAATGCATGTTACTTGTAGTTCTCAATTGTGAATGTTAAGCTAAAAACTCAAGAACGTCGATGATCCAAAAGTACGTCGAAAATAAATGATGTACCGGCTTATCATGGATGCCTAGTTGCGCCCAGGTTATCACTTCAAGCAACTCCTCAAGAGTTCCATAACCACCTAAATATGAATGGAGCAGATAGTGTTAGTGCTTAATTCTTCCAAAACTGTCTGATGAACATGAAGTCCTGCTTATAGATTAATCAAATGTTAAAAAAGCAAAGTGGGAAATGAAAACATAAAGCAAGAACGACAAAAGAATGATACATGATACGAATCTCATAAGTACAATAATCCTCTGCATGGTTCCAAGGCTATATTACAAACACACCAGGTATAACTCAAGGAGTGGGGTCTAGGGAGGGTAGGAGGTACGCAAACCTTACTGCTACCTTTGTGGGGTAGAGTTGTTGTTTCCGACAGACCCTCAGCTCAAAAGAATGGATGAAGTAGAATATACTAAACAAGTACTAATCAGGAGAACAGTTGACAAGGTGTTTACTGTTTAATCAATAACAGTATTTTAATGTATTCTAAAGTTCTGAGACTTATTGAGATGCAACCAAAAGGAATAATATTGACTAGTTTGAATTTCTGAACCAACTGAAAACCTAAAGTGGAGTGAGCATGATAATTTGTTAGGTCCAGCAGCCAGTTGGCATTACCAATTTAGTGAAAGTGTGACAGATTTCTCCCTTACCTATCACCCCCCAATGGCTTTTAAACACATTAAAGGAAAAGAACAAATCACAGTAGTAGTTTCTCTCACAATGAATAATCCTAATTCCAGTGCAAGATGTTGATAGGTCAACAACTAAGGATTGAACTGTTGCTCCTTAAATCTACATTTTCTTTGACAAGCCTAATAAACACAACAAAAGCAATCCCTGACCAACGTTGCTCGGAACCTCAAAAGTAATGAATTTATGGAGAACCTGACACTGATGCGTTGGGTATTTATTCAAAATTCACGCAACATAGCCGGTACCCCTAGCCTTCAACTAGATATATACATAATTTGAGCATAACTATTCTTTAAGGTAATCACTTGTATCCAAGAGTAAGAATATCAAGACTTATTACAAATCATGAAAAACTCCAAATTTGTATTATTTGTCTTTTAAAAGAAAATGCATACTAAGCCAAGAAAATGACAATCTGAACTATCAGATAAACAAAAAGTCAGTAGACATATAATGAATCTATTGCCTGAAATAGCAAATATTAAACAACTGATTGTTTTCTTTCTTTTCATTTATCCCAATTATTTTATACATAGAAATTTGTGTGTAAAAGTTAAAAACTTTGACTGTAAGGTTTAATACTAACCTGGCAAGGCAATAAAAGCATCAGAATGCTTAGCCATCTCTGCTTTTCTTTGATGCATACCTGCAACAGCCTTCACTTCTCCTACTGTTTCACCAGTTAACTGTGAAAAAAAGAGTACCATACATCAGTACAAAAAAGAAAATAAAAGATAAAATATTAGGAGGGAAAGACAAAGAATTTCTTGTAGTGTAGTAAATGTTGCTACAGTGAAGCAATGATGAGTATTATTTCAGAAAAAAGAAGACTTAATCCTGAAAATAGTCTATAGGGTCAGCAGTTGCAGAAGAAAGTAGCCTTATCCTTACCATACACAACCACCAGTTCAAGACATATATAAGATAGTCGGGTACACTAACGAGGGTCTATTATACGTAGTCTTACTCATGATATATGAGTTGCAGAAACACAAGAGCCAGAGACACAGAGTGAATAAAGCTTTGTATACAGAAGGAAAAAATGTCAGGAAACACATTATACTAGTGAAAAGCCAGATGTCAAAGTGTTACACCATGGTATTTTGATAAGGCAATCAAAGGACAAGAAAGAAAAAAAAAGTTTCTTTACTCCTTCACAGTGCCCAGGAACTTGAGAAAAGAACACAGCATAGAACTTTGTAAATACTAGCATCTTTTGGTACATTCAATATTAAATTAGAACCAATAGTTTAAAGAGATTTAGAAATAAACTCAAAGTATCAACTTTTTTAACATGGATTATAAAAGATTAAAGAGTAGTATAATAGTTTTCTTGATCATAGCAGACATACCTCTCTAGGCATGAGTGTCTTGGGAATAACCCTGCAGACAGACAATAACATGACAAAAATTCAATTTTTATTGATAAAAAAAGAAACATTTGCACTAATTAACACAAGAGAGATACACTTTCATTCATCATGTTAGGGACAATTTTGGTTAGCATTTGAAAATATGATCTTTAAATATTTTAAAACCTTTTTCCAAGTAAAATGTGTCCAAACTCAACTTCAAAAACTAAAAAATTCAAGTTTCAACGTCAAAATCTATGGTCAAACGGGAGGTTAAATAGCATAGATTGATCTTTCTCCTCACCCAATAACATGGCGACCACCATCATGAACAGCTTGTGAAACCAAGCCCATAAGGCCTATGCTACCTCCTCCATAGACCAAATCAATATTCCTTGACACCTTCCATAAGACAAAACACCATAAAGTAATCACTTTTAAGTCTAAAAGCACATTTAGCTTGTTTAATGATTATAAAAAGAGAAAAAAGCCAAAAGGGTAAAAATGGATTATAAAACAAATGTACTTTTCAGTGCAGTCCTATACATATGAAGATGATAAAAGAGCATAAATACAAAAATTGTACAAAGAAAGAAAAAGGGTCCCAGAAGAATAAAAATCCTGTAGATGAAAGTAACTGTAAGTATAGAATACACAAAAATGTAAAAACAAAACTAGCACTAGAAGCTAAAAACTTTGTTGTATTTCCCATGTGTGAACAACAATCAAAGCAACTTGCAAAAAGGATTGAAACTTTCATGAGTGGTTACAAACACACAAAAGAAACAGAGAGACAAACAGAAGGTGCATGTAACACAACATATTATCAAGAAAATTTGAACAAAAGGGGTTAACAAACCTAAAATTTGAAAACCAAAAAACCAAAATATCATCATCAAGACTCGTCCTTTACTTCAAAATAAACACCCCATTTTCATGGAAACCCCAAAAAGATACAATCTTTACACAATATAAGAGCTAAAAATCAAAAGGGGTTAAAGCTAAAATCAAGAAAAAGGCTAAAAAAAAAGCCATTGTTGTTTACCAATTCTTTGCCAAGCTCAATAGCAGCATCTTGATAGCTACTCTTCTTGCCTTGACTACTTCCACAAAACACACAAATCCTCTTAAATTTTGAACCCTTTACTACAACACCACTCTCCCTCTCCATTTTTTTTTCCCTGCAAATTAGATGATAAAATAAGAATCTTGTATGTTATTATGCTGAAAAAGAGCAATATATATAGGCCCTTATACATATGTAGTGTTATACGTGTACCATATATTATATAGAAGAAAATTGTGTATACTTTTTTAGCTTGACCACACCCACGTCACCAAAAACATAATTACATTTGTTTTATACTCAACCCTACCATTACTGGACCAATTTTACGGTCCTAAACACTTCGATCAACTAATTTTATAAAAAGATATTTATGACAGGCATAAATTGTGTATTGATCAGGTTGATAAATTAGTTGATAATATAATATATATTTTTAACTTTTCCTTCTTTTATTATATATATTACAAAATATAAAATGAACATAAAGCTTTTTTAAGAAACAAACATGTCATTTTTAAAAAAAAAGAAAAGAAAAGATTATCGTATAGTAAAATTTATATATAATGTTTAATTAATCATGAGGTATAGGATTTCAATGTTATGTCAATCTTGAATATTCTCGTAGGGTACATGTACAAATGTGTTATAAATATATAGTAACGCAAAAATAAAACAGATGGGGTACAATTCTTCTTAAATAGATAAAGAAGACCGTGTCAATACGAATACAATAAATTAGGAGTACTTTTATTCGTTTCAATTTATATGTGTAGTCATTGAAATTTTGTGAGACTCTACAAGTTGTGTTTAATTTGAGTTGAAACTCTACAGTGTGTGAGATTTTCAAGGCTACTCAAATTTATACCTATATAAAGGGTACTATATTCCTTGAAAAGCATTCTCGAAATTTCATCAAAAAATTAATATTTGAAATATTTTGACTGCAAATTCATGGAATATTCTATTTTTTGAAAATTAAACATATATATTTGTAAATTGCGTAAAAGGTACTACTCTTTATAAAAATGTTTAAAGATGTATGAAAAATTATGATACAAGATGGACTTATTTGGATCTCGAAATTCGAAAAATATTAAATAAAATAGGACGGAAGGAGTAAAAAAAAATGATCAATTCGATCAAAGTTGGGGTCAAGTCTAAAGTGTTAAATTCGAGTCTCGAACATCAGATTGGGGTAGAGTCTTTAGTCTCAAGTCATGGTCGGATATCAGGTCTCGAGTTAGGTTTGAATCTCGAATTATTGGTCAAAGTCGAGTTTGGGTCGGATTTATGTACAAGGTCGATTGGATCAGGGAACTCAAATCAAGGTCATGTCAGGTTTGGGGTCAAAGGTGCATCTCGAGTCTTAGATCAAATCTCGATTTCAGTCTCGAATCTCAAGTTGCAGTCAGGTCTCGGGTAGGCATCAGATTTTGGATTTTGGATCAAAAGTATCCATTTTAACTTATTTCAGTCCAAGTATAACTTCCAGATTCTCAATATGCTTCTCATGATAACGGCTTTATAACTCGGCCGAATAGATATTTTTATTAACATCAATAATAAAACTTGTTTAAAAATATAACTCATATACCTCATTAAATATATATATGTAGACATGGAAATACATGCATAACTTAGTAATTCTGATTCAAACTTTATTTACGTATACAAAATTTATTAAATTGATAAAATTTCAAAATTCAAACACAAAACTTTCAAAATACTGAATAAATTTATATCTTACTATATAAATACTTATTCTTCAGTTTTCATATAGACATTACAATTAAAGGAAAGTTATTAAAATATATACATATATACTCATACTAAGTAACTTTCAACCAAAATAAAGGTCACAAATTTAAACGGTGAAAACAATCACTTACAAAAATGTAAAATATTGTTACAATAGTTATCCTTCTGATTTAACGTTTCTTTGAATCTTTCACATAATAAAAATTTTATTACATCAAACTTTCGTTTTAAAATATAAATATCAAATTGTATATATATATGTGCAATAAGTAGATGGGAAAATGCAATGGAGGCATGTGGGAATAGCCATGGAGGTCTGTGCAAATATGATTGAATAAAATAAAAAAAAAACATGTGGGTATTTGTGTATCAGGCTTGTACCCTTATACACTAGACAAACTTGTTGTATTTTTAGGAAACATTTTATACTTATTTCATAAATCCCCATATCACTTCACTTACCATGTTGTCCCTATTCCCCATTCCCTATGTATATTACTACTTCATTCGTTTTATATTACTCGACTCTTTTTATTAAAAAAAATCTTATCTTTCTTAAAATTTTACAAAAACACATAAAAAATAAAACGAAAAAAGATATTTTTAGTGTTGTATTTTTTAAATTGTATTGTGGTATATACACATTCAAGTGGTGGGTCAATATTGCACCATTACTTTCAACATGAATTAAACATGTATAGATGAAGTATCAAAATATCTATACTTATACTAACTTTAGTTACCATTCGAGTTTAAATCATAGTAGTAATAAAAAATTCCGATGGAGGGTTTTCTTTTCTTCGTTTTAATGGACTACGAATCTCGATTAGTAGAACTAAATTTTGGATAATAGATACGTATTTTTTATTTAAAGTAAGTTATTGTTATACAGTACCACTAGTACAACTTTTTGGGGCATAACAAATTATGTTGTATTTTATCTAATAATTCTAGTGACTGTGTTATGGGCCTGTATTATTTATATCATACTAAATATGCTAATGAAAATTTAATTTTGTTATTCCTGCTGTTACCAAAAAAATTTGAAATTGATTGTAAGTTAGCCCATGCTGTTCAAACTAATGTGTGTTATATAAAAAACATCCATAAATCCCTAGGTTTGGCTTTCAATTAAGATTGTGTATACATTATAATCTTCGAATTTTATTTATGAAATTTTACACAATATATTATTCAATTTGAAGCATAGTTCAAATATAGAGAGGCTTGATGAACACATCCACAAGTTGTTATGTGGTATATAAGAATTACACGAAAAGGCCTTTGCGAGCTACTTTGTAACCCACAAAATTAAAATCAATTTTCACATGTTTTATGTGAGCATGGAACATCCTATTAATGGACAAGTAGAGACATGCAACGTCAATTATAAAAGGAATCATCTTATTAATGGACAAGTAGGCATGCATCGCCAATATTAAAAGAAGATACGACATGTTGAAAACATATTTAAGTGAATAAAAGAAAATTCTCTCCATTATTTAGAAAGTCACAAGCTTTAGGACTAAGAGTAAGTTAGCCATGCCATTTAAAATAATGTGTTATATAAAGAGCATTCACAAATCCCTAGGTTGCCCTATATATCTGGCTTTCTATTCAAATATGAGTAAGATTACATATATTATTTTATTCAAACTCTATTCATGAAATTTTATCGAATTGCTATTGATATTGTTATTCTGTTAGACATATATAAAACCCAATGAATCAATCATGTTTTGAGTCTTAGCGTTGATAAGACATGATCTTATAATATAACACCCCCTTGCAAGCTAAAGGTAATGATCCAACATTTTATTTGAAGCAGAGAAATTTAAATTGAGATAAGACGAGAAATTTGATAAACACATCCACAAGTTTTTTTTATGGTGAATAAGAATTGCATCGAAAGGTCTTTGCGACCTGCTTTGTAACCCATGAATTTCCACATGTTTTATGTGAGCATGGAACATCCTATTAATGGACAAGTAAACATTTAACGTCAATGTAGAAAGAACTATCCTATTAATGGGCAAGTAGGCATGCAATGCCAATATAGAAAGAATCAAATTCATATGTGATAGGATAAATTATGTATATAAAAATAAACTCGTTCTAATAACATAAACTTGTTATTTAGAAAGTCGCACGTTTTTAGTACTAAGAGTAAGTTACCCCATCCCTTTTAAACTAATGTGTGTTTTATAAAGAGCATTCAAAGTATGAGTAAGATTAAGCATATATTATTTTATTCAGACCTTATTTATGAAATATAATCGAACATGTTTTTGATATTGTTATGTTTATATATGTATATAACACTCAATGAATCAATCATGTTTTGAGTCTAAACATTGATAAGATATGATCTTATAATTACATCCCTTGTAAGTTAAAAGGCGACGATATGATACTCTATTTGGACTAGAGAAATTCAAATTTAAATGAAACGATAGGCTTGGTGCACACATCCACAAGTTTTTCTATGGTAGATAAAGAATTGTACGGAGAGATCTTTACGAGCTACTTTTTAACCCACAAAATAAATTGAATTTCCACATGTTTGATGTGAACATATAACATCCTATTAATGGACAAGTAGGCATATAACGCCAATATGAAAAAAATCAAACTCACACGTCAGTGGACATATAGAAAACATAATTATGTACATAAAAATGAAAACTCTTTTTTATTTAAAAGGTCACACATATATTTTTGTACTGATTATCAATTTAAATAAAATTTAATGATATATATCATGGTATATATATTTAAAAGTGAAATATTATTACTATGTTTAGTGGACTGTGTGTAGCAGGACAAATTGACCATGAATACAGGTATATATATATATATATATAGGCTACATGTTGGATAGTAGGGGGTGACCAGAAAAGGATGGGAAGATAATGGCAACATAAATAAAAAGACAAAAATTTCTAATAAACCCAACTATCAATTTATTGTTAGAAAATGACTTTAACGGATGGGGGGTAAAATTATTAAAAATGGCACTGTCACAAGTTGCAGAGGGGGGTGGGGGAAGGGGGGAGGGGTGGTAATTTTTTTTCGATTTCTATTTAGTGTCAATTACTCGCTCTGTGTAAGATTTATTTAAGAAAAAAACACTTTATACAAAGATCTTTATGTTTATAATGCTTGAATATAAAACATCTGATTATCAGTGGAGAATTGGAGGATTCATATAATTCTGGTGTAACGACTACTTTAGCATGGAAATAAGAATATAAGTTGTAGAAATGACTTTATTCCATCACGGAAAAAGGTCTTGTATTATTTGAAATTATTTAATTTTACTCTCAAATATATTTTAACTTGTT